GCTGTTTGCTAAACCATGGCTGGAAGGAAGTCTTGTCTCCTCTTAGGAAGGGTCCCTTCCTGCCTTGACTCACTTCCAAACTGAACCTGGTGGCTAGCCCACAAGGGTGTCTCACAGGCCATCTTGAGCTGGACAAGAATCTGGCTGGTACTTAGGTGGGCTAAGCCTTGTTCTCCTCAGTTGAGAGCTCTTGGGGTCCTTGCCTATAGAACCACCAGCTTGATTTTGAGAAATGTAGGGCAGGATGTAGAGTGCTATGCTGCTTGCCTAACTTCAGGCCATGATCCCACAGGCCCATGCTGCTGGAATCTGGATCTTCTGCTCTATGTCCTCTAGGACCTGGTCAACTGAGTACAGCTGACAAAGACTGGGTTGTTCTGGGCTTACAACAGCCCAGCTGACAGGGCCACAATTCTCAAAGCTTGTTGAGGGCCCTGCTTAGGCTGTGTATCTGACTGTCTAGCTCAGATCACTGTCTCACTGACAGCTGGCCTCCTGTCCCAGCACTTTCTACAGAGCAGGCAAGGCCCTACAGTTTGCAGCTTCTGTCCCAGCCAATGCACTATGACTTGTGGCTGCTTGTGTGGGTGGTGCTGTTAGAATGACTGTTTATCATTGTGATCATAGCAGTGACAAAAGATTTGTAGTGATCACAGACTTGTAGCAAGTACCATACTTCGTATAGTCATGTGCATCTTTCATCATTATAGTGAGTCTACAGGGGGTGGGGGGAGATGGCTACTGTGATGGTCTCCATCTCACGGATGGAGAAGCCAATCTGGAGAGGCTATGTGACCTGCATAGGCCACTCTCCAGGGCTAAGTTGAAGCTGGACCCTGCTAGGCTACCTTACTTGAAGATCAGGTTTGCTGTCTCTTTAACATTGTGGGTTCCCACTGTGCATGCACCCTCTGCTTATAGATGACCGATTGGAACTCTCTAGGGTTGTAAATATCACACTGGAGACTGAGATATAACAAGATATAGGGCTCCTGTCCAGGCCCTAGCTGCCTAGGGCTTCCTGTCATAGCTGGCTCTAGTACTGTTCTTTGGGGGTGGAGTTTGCAGGGTGAGCTGGGTGCACCCAAACATAATAAAGGCCCAGAGAGACCTGGTTCCTTGGCTGCCCTGTAGCTGCAAGGGGCTGTATGAGTTGTGGTGGGCTCTACCTGTGTATTCAGGAAAGCAGATGGTCAGTGGGGACTTGGTGATCTTCTCCTCAAATATGTCCTTCTTGTTGAGAAACAGGATGATAGATGTGTCTGTGAACCACTTGTTGTTGCAGATGCTGTCAAAAAGCTTCAGGGACTCATGCATTCGATTCTGCAACAGAGTGGAGAGGCAGGTGAGGGCTAGTGGTACCCAGCACCCTGACCTACTGTGGCTATGACATAGCGAGACAAGCAGAGGAATGGGCCACCAATGCTCTTAATGCATTACTGGGGACAGAGACAGAGGAGCCCACGTGGACAAACAGGACATGTCCCTGCTTCATTTCACACACAGGCAGCTTTGGGTGGAGCTGGGGTAGGTCAGGAGTGCTGTCCCTTCCAGAGAGAGCTGGCCTGGGCTGGGCACTGAGGTCACTGCAGAGGCTGCAGTCCCTGGAGAGGACATGCACCATGCACGTAGAGGGCAGGGATGCAACCACCATCCAACATGTCTACACGAAACCGTGGATCATGCAGACTTCTCTACCAGGCTCTCATTCATTTTTGCCAGCGAGGTCAGGAGGGTGCACGCATTCAGTTGGATAACATTAACCGAGGACTGAGGTCCTCGAATTAATCCTGAGTTGGAAGCAGATACCAGGGGACAGCGTCTCGGGGGTGATGTTGCTGTGGCCTTGGTTGGTTGGGTGACTTTGTTGGATGACTGGGATATGCCTGGGCTGAGGGAAGCTCTCTCTGGGAAAGCTGGGAGATGGGGCTGGTTTCTTAGAAGCGGGGACAGGAGAACCCCAAGAAGAAACTCAGCAAAACAGATTAAAACTGAGAGGAAGCTAAAAACCCAGAAGCAAACATCAGAGAAGGAAAAAGAGAAACCCTGAAAAATTGATCCAATCAGTCTCAGACCCAGGAAGTCCGGGGCAGCTGTGCGAGGCACCTACACAGGCCTCAGATGCCTTGTGATGGGCACTATGCATCTGGGATGGAGGGCTGTGTAGGGAAGACAGCCTTAGCTAAGAGGCCAGCATGGAACATAGGCCTGGGGCCGGCATTCACAGCAAAGTCACCCAGCGGGGCCCTGAGAACCCGCTGCTTTCAACTCTTAGCTCATGTTTGACCAGAGGGAGGTGGCTTCATACCTGCCGGGCTTGGAGGGTCTCTCAGAATCTGCCCATGGTTTTGGCCTTGCTTTGGTAAGAAAAGGCCCTGCAGGCGCTGGTGGCAGTAGTGGTGGAGAAGTTGTGGCAGCCTGTGGCCTGGCTGAGTGGCGCTGAGAGCAGGTACGAGGACAAGATGAGCCCGTGGGGTCCCAGGGTGCAGCGGGCAGGGTGGCTGATCCGGTGTTGGGCAGCCACTAGCCGCAGGGCCTTCCTGGCCTAGCTCCAGGAGCTGCCTCCAGACATCTTTGTCTCTGTGGCCCCAATTTTCCTCCCCATGCCAGGGAGAAAAGTACAGATCTGGCTAGAGGGGAAGACTGAGGACCAAGGACTGGGCCATTGGTGCCTACATCTTGCCTCTCTAGGGAAGAGCATCCATACTCTACCACCTGTCTGTTCCCAGGCTACATCATCTAGACAGAGGAGTAGAACTGCCCCTTACTGAGTGGTGTCTGTGTAGACACTATTTCAGCACTTAGCCCTTGAGGCTGTTTTACCATCACCACCCTACAGCACATGCCTGAGGAAGGTGTGGCGATTATGCATGATCACAAAACTGGCAGGAGTGATGCCAGGACTTGGATTCCATCCATCTGACTCCCAAGCTGTTCAATTCACACACATCCTCCATACACCGACGACCGATAGTTCCACAGTATTCTTTTACAGCCACTAGAGCTGGGAGCCACTGCTGAGGGCTGCTGGCAAGTTGGAAGGCAACCCCTATTTCCTGAAGGCTTGGTGCTTTTCCCTGGCTGTTGGATGGCCAGGCTTGGGGAGGGAGAACTGTAGGAAGAGCTTGTTTCTGACTTTGGCCAATGGGTTTTTCCTTCCCCAAGGCTCTTGCCTCCAGCCCTTGTAGAGGAAAGCAAGGGAAATGGGGAATGAACTGGAGGCAGAGGCAGGGTTGAGAGAGCAGTAGGCTAGGAAGGACACTAAGAGCCTGGGCGCACAGCAGCAAGGCTGGTGAGAAGGGGAAGTAGGTAGGGCCAGCCACCCCTGACTTGGAGACGGGGCTTGGTGCCCACTGGACATTCCTTGTGTCTAATCTGTGCTCTGGGGATTACTGAGGGCCTGGCCTCACAGCTGATAGTTCTGGGCCTTCACTCTGGCAGGGCAGGTTCAAAAGAGAGGCCATGCTCCAGTGTGAAGGGTCTCTCACCATCCAGCCTCCAACCCAATTTTTTTTTTCAATCCCATCTACTCCCAGAAAAGATAGGCCAAAGGGAGCAGGCACAATGGCTCTTGCAGCACAGAGGCAACCCATAGAGGCAAAGAGTGTATTGGGCCAGTCATTCTGTTGGGTGCCCTAACAGGAGAGTATTCTGTGCTGTGGGTAGTCACAGAGTCTGGGGTTCAAGAACAGTCGAGGGCATGTTTTCCCCACCCCAACACTGGGACTTGAGACTAGACCACTGTCTGCCACAACCACTGAGGATGATAGAACTGAAACCCAGCCACCACATGATTAAAGTCTGGACCATCCCTCCTACCAGAAGCTTGGCTTCCATCTGCCAAAAGCCCCATCCCTCAGTGTGAACTACTCAGGACGGCGGGTCCTCCTCTGCCAGCACTGTACCCTCCCAGCACATACCCCAGAGCTCATCCACCCCCTCCCCGCTCCAAAGACATTGTAGTGACTGGGCTTGGACTGGTGAACAAACTGGACTCATAAGGAAGACTGGTCTTGTTCAAGGCCAGCACAACCACAAAGCCCCTCCTCTGACCCTTGGTGCTGATCCCAAAGGTTCAGGGTGAAGCATTCTGACTGTATTCCAGATAAGATTGTATTCCAGATGCCAAAGTGTGAGTCCACAGCCATGAACCCCACTCTCACAAGTGGGCTTGTCTCCCATGTCCCAGCAGAACATATTTGAGACCTGGTCCCTTTCCAGGCTTTGTGGACAGGCCCACAGAATTGTGAGCTGAAACTCCAAATGGGAAAATCTCAGTGGATGTACCTAGCTCAGGGCAATCAGCACCAATAATATAACAGCTAGCTGGGCACTGTTAAGCAAAAATTCTTCCATGACCAGTAACTTTAGGCAACGCAGGTGGTACTACTGTCTCTGCTTTTCAGATGGCAGGAACCCAGGCAGAAAGGGTGTTGCCTGAATTTATCTCATATCAGTGAGCAGCAGAGTCAGGATGAGGCTGAGGGGAAGACTGGCAAGGTCCCTCTCAGGCCAGGTGGCAGGGCTCAGAGGCTGAGTTTGACATAGAGGGCTCAAAGCCATGTCTGACATTCATCAGTATGCCTGTTTCTTGGTGCCCTTCTTGACCAGGTAGGCCCCACACTTCTCCAGCTGGCCAGTATCCCAGGGAGGGCAGAAGCAGCTAAAGCTGCCTTTCCTGTCATATACATGCTTTTGCTTGGATGACATCAGGCTTTGTAGGATTTGCTTAATTCCTTTCTGGTCTGATAGCCCCATGACTCTACTGTTCACTGATGAGGTGCTTACTGGCCGAGACCCCGACTCTGATAAGTTATTTGCAGCAAGTTTGAGTACAAACTGCACCAGGAGCCCCCAGCTGCTTCTGTTGTACTGGCCTCACTGGCATTTGCCTTGACAACACAGAATGGGCGAGGGTGTCTGGCAGAGGCCATCTGTGAGGCCTGAGAACTCTGAATGTTGGCTTGTTCTATGGCCAGCTTTCACTTCAGGCCACTCACCGTGGTTTCGTCCTCGTGGAGCACCTGGTCATAGCCGCTGAGTGCGACACAGAAGATGATGGCCGTGACATCCTCAAAGCAGTGGATCCACTTCTTGCGTTCAGATCGCTGGCCCCCAACATCAAACAGCCTGCAGGAAGTCAGAGAAAGCTAGCTGTGAGGGTGGGGATACCTGTGATCTAGCAGTGAGAATGCTGAGCACAGTACCTCATTCTGAGTAACAACAGACTGACAGATGAACCTCTGCTACCTCTGGGCCTGAAGGCAGTTCTCATTACCTCTGAGACCTGTCCCAGGACTGAATTTGCGCAAGCAGAGTGACTCAAAGACCTGCCTCTCCTCATGACCTCTCTTCTAGTTTCACCTGATATCAAGAAACCACACCTGGAAGACAGCCCAGGGGTCACCGGGCTTTAGCCCATGAAGGCCACTCTTGGGAGACAAAATCCTCCAGTATGGCTCCAGAAAGCCGGCAGCACAGTTCAGGCTCCTGTTCTTAGGCCCCCGGAGCCCCAGGGTCCTGCGTATGTTCTGCACCTGAGAAAACCCCACTTTTAAAGGTCTTGCCCCCCCTGTAGGTACTTCAGGATATGAGCAGGGGAGCTGCTCTCCTAGCCTCTCTAGTTTTGAGACTGTAGTGATGTTTGGGGTCTCCCTGGCATTGCTTGGACCTACTCACCTGATTCAAGCTTACTCACCCTTGCAGGGGCCTCTGAACTAAGCCACCTGTTGTTTTAGCCTTTAACCCTGACAGAAAATAAGTTCTCAGATGGGCTTCTTCTGGTATCTAGCTGTCTGACCAAATGAGAAAGATCCCTGAGACAAGGCTATCCAGATGAGGTGAGACAGGACATGGGCATTCCCCCATCCCTCTGGTGCATCACTAGGCTCATCTCTAGGGCCTGTAAGCAGGCCCCATCTCCTAAGGTCTCACCTGAAGTGGAGGTTCTTGAATGTGAAGTGGGTTTCTACAATGCCGGTGGTTTTGACCCTGGTTCGGAGGATGTCCTGCTCAGTGGGCTGGTAGTCAGCGGCTCCAATCCGATCCAGGCTGTCCAAGTAGCTGTGGAAGACATCATACAAGAGTCTATGGATCTGGGCCCTTCTCACTATGTTTGGAGTCCAGTATTAGCCATAGCTTTTGCAAGGTTGGCTGTGGCGACAATCAAGAGAGAACTTGAGGGTCTTAGGCTTGCAGTCTCTAAGGTCCTCGAATTCAGACCCAGCAACACTGGGATGAGACCTGCAAATGAGACTGCCAGGTTCACAGAACAGTTCTGTTATGTCTTCATCTTAAAAATAATAATGGCCAATAGGTAGGATCTCTTCTTTTTAAAAATATATTTATTGGAGTCTGGAAATACCTCACTCTTCCTTCCCCTTCCACTCCATACCAGCAAGATCTGAAAAGCACAACACAGAGGAAGAAGAGACAGATCTAAAAATCTACTTCATGAAGATGTTCAAGACCCTTAAAGAGGAAACAAGAAAATCTCCTAAAGAAATAGAAGAAAAAAACAAACAAAAAAATTCAAGAAATAAGTAATTCTCTTAAGAAAAAACAACCAAACAAGTGAAGGAAGCACTGGAAACAATTCAAGGCATGAAAGCTGAAATAGAAACAATAAAGAAAACACAGAATGAGGGGATGCTGGAAATACAAAGGCTGGATAAACGATCAGGATCTAAGGATGTGAGTATAACCAATAGAATACAAGAGATGGGAGAGAGAATCTCAATTGTTGAGGACTCGTTAGAGGATATACAGTCATTGACCAAAGAAAATCTCAAGTCCAACAAATCTCTAACACAAAATATCCAGGAAATATGGGACACCATGAAAAGGCCAAACCTAAGAATAACAGGTATAAAAGAAGGTGAAGAAATATAGCTCAAAGGTACAGAAAACATATTCAACAGAATCATAGAAAAAAACTTCCCCAACCTACAGAAGGATATGCCTATGAAAGTACAAGAAGTTTATAGAACACCAAATAGACTAGACCAAAAAAGAACTCCCCTCACCACATAGTAATCAAAATACCAAACTTACAGAATAAAGAGAAAATATTAAGAGCAGCAAAGGAAAAAGGCCAAGTAACATATAAAGGCAGACCTATCAGAATCACACATGACTTCTCAATCTGAAACATCTATGCCCCAAATACGAAGGGACCCACATTTGTAAAAGAAACATTACTAAAGCTCAAACCACACATAAAACCACACACACTTATAGTAGGAGACTTCAACACCCCTCTTTCACCACTGCACAGGACCACAAGACTGAAACTTAACAAAGAAACAAAGGATCTAACAGAAGTTATGTCTCAATTGGGATTAACAGACATCTATAGAACATTCCATCCAAACACAAAAGAATATACCTTCTTCTCAGCACTACATGGATCCTTCTCTAAAATTGACCACATACTTGGCAACATAGCAAACCTCCACAGATACAAAAAAAAAAAATGAAATAATCCCCTGTATCTTATCAGACCACCACACTTTAAGATAAGAATTCAACAGCAATACAAATTGCAGAAAACCTACAAACTCGTGGAAATTGAATAATACCCAATTGCACCAGGAATAAATGAAAAAAAAAGAAATTAAAGATTTCCTAGAATTTAATGAGAATGTAGACACAACATATCCAAATTTAAGGGACACTCTGAAAGCAGTGCTAAGAGGAAAGTTCATAGCACCAAGCGCCCACATGAAGAAACTGGAGAATAGTCACACTAGAGAATTGGCAGAACAACTAAAAGCTTTAGAGCAAAAAGAAGCAAACTCACCACGGTGGAGCAGATGCCAGGAAATAATCAAACTGAGGGCTGAAATTAATAAAGTAGAAACTAGGAAAACATTACAAAGAATCAATGAAACAAA